ACTTGAAGAAGATGGATGTTATTCCTTAATTAGCCAAAATTCCTCTTTAAAAATGAACCCAACACGTAAAAAAAATCTCATGGACAGATAAAGCAGACAGGTAGAATGTAGTAATATATTCTTTTAGGCAGTGTGCAAATGAGAAACAAGATGAATAGAAAGTGGACTTAAGAGCACTTTTGTAGAAAGATGAATCTATTATATTCTTCTATTTTAATCCAATAGTAAATTATCTTCAACTAATGATGCTTTTCTAGCAGGAATTTTATTAAGTTATAAGATGGTTACTGTAACATTCCAAACTACGTGTTAGTGACTAAATTGTAAAATTTCAGAATTTGGTGATTAAAGTGGAAAAGTTGAATAGTTCAATTACTTATTTAAAAATAATTCATGAAGGGTTATTAGTAATTATTAAAAGAATGAGAGGGAAAAATGGTCGTTTGACTTTGAAATAAAAAAAAATGATATATTTGTATAAGGGGATAAGGATGAAGAGATATTTTCTCTTCATCTTCTTCTTCTTCATGTACGAGAGAAAGAGAGAGCCAAGCTTGCAAAGGTAAGTTTTATTATTAGTTGATTATTAACTGAAATTTAAGTTTGGTTGTGATCCTTAGATAATAATTAAGCTTAAGGAAAGCTTAATTTGTCTTAAAATCAAAAGATGAAGAAGTTATGAAAGATTAAAGAAAATGGGTTTTTAAGTGAAATTTTGAATAAGAAGGTTTAAATGAATTTGGAGGATGAATTTGACTTGTCATCCATGAGAATAAGAAGTTAGAAGTGTTGGAATGATAGAAATTAGTTAAAGTTGTTATAGATGAGTTTAGTAGCATGATAAGGATTTTTTATATGAAAATTTGGGTGAAGTGTTGATGATTTTCGGATGAAATAGCCTATTCTGGGCAGGTGCATCGATGCACTATGAGTGTGTACCGATGCACTATGAGTGTGTACCGATGCACTAAGACAAAATTTGAAGGTGCATCAATGCATTAAGGGGTGCATCGATGCATGGGAATTTCGAACCTAATATGGGTACCGATGCACCCATGGTGCATCGGTACACTCCTAAAGGAAATTAGGAATATGAGTTTATTAAATTCGTTTAAGTTAATATCATCGAAGTATAAGGTTTAGGCTTCAGATAATCATCTTGAAAATTATATTTATGTAGACATCGAGCCTAAACGAGTTACGAAACAATCAAAGAGTTAGGATTGAATCAAAGCAAGCAAGGCTAAGATGAGTGCAATTTAAATTGTGCTTATGTGATTGATCAAACATTGGCTTGCGATGAGCCAATGATAGAGTTACTATGTTAAGAAGTATCTTATAAAATGTTATGTGATTACTATGTGTGCATTAGTACATAGAAATGGATGTATGTTATTATATGTTACATGATTTACATGCTTACATGAAAATGCATACTTGATATGACATGCAAGGTTACATGAACAAATGAGAAATGATAAAATCCATATGAAATTATCTATGTGAATACATGTGTAATACCCCAAAAATTTAGACAATGACCAAAATGAAAATTTTGAAAGTTTGATGGTAAAAGTAGAAGATTGGGAAAAAGTTTAGGGAATCAAGTGATAATTTCCTAAAAATAATTTTATTCCATAAATAGATGGTTTACTCTTGAGAGTGAGGTTTTATAGAGATCATATTTTTGGATTTGGAATTTTAGTAAAGAAAAATTAGAAAGAGTTAAAGCCGATAAGGAATCGAAAATTCGGATCGAATTGGAATGTTACAAAAATTTGAATGATGTTATAAAATGTTTGGAAATATTATTTTAATATTTAACATCAGAAAAATTTGGTTTGGAATTGTGCAATTTTTCATATTTAATCGAAACAGTGGAATTTAGTGACTAAAACGCAATTTTTGGAAATTCAAGGGGAAATTCAGAAATGAAAGTCAAATTAATTCATATTTGATTTTGTATTATGATAATGATCAGATGGCTTGGTGTTATGGTGAATATGGAAATTCATTAATGGCAAAAATGGAAATTCATATTAGATTGAATAAAAAATGTCATCATAATATATATTGCCATGTGATAGATTTATTTATCATTAAATATCAATCATGGAAGAGCATTTCCAGCTTCTTCTTCCTCCAAGGGCCGGCACTTTCAAGCAAGAAAGGTAAACATTTTTAGTTTCAATTTTGAAGCTATTTCTTGAGAATTAGACTCAGTGTAGTTAGGAAAAATATTATACTTTCAATTCTCTACATTTTGACATGAATATTACTAGGATTCATGTTCAAGTTCATCTTGAGTTGATGAAAGAGTATGTTGATTCTTGTGTTTTATGGGTTTTGAAGAGTTAAGTGATTTTAAAGAATTGGTTGTAAGAATTGATGAAGAACCTAAGGATGAGGTTAAAGAAAACAATTTATATTATGAATTTGTGATTTATACAGATTATGATTGATTTGCGATCGAAGCAAATCAAATATAAAAGGGCTTATTATGGATAATAGTGATGCACATATATTTTGAAAGATATAAAGTGTCAAGGTGAGTGCAATACATGCATGAAATTATACATGGATGTTTTATACATCATCAGGGAGACTTGCGATAAGTCAACCTTGTTTATATCAGCATGATACATGTCATTTTTATAACTTTGACATGACATTGAAATGTCATGGTATGAAATCAAAATTCATTGATCATGAAAAATGTGATATTTTACCATGAATGTTTCGGGTATGAACTGCCCAATGTTAAATATTGATGATATACTTTGCCATGGATGGATCGAATAAAATAGACTATATGCCCAAAGTAAGTCATTGAGGGACAGAGTATAGTTGGCATGCCATAGAGTATAGCAACTGCAGGTTTATATTAGCACTATAGTGTGTAAGGACACTAAGTGCAGGTTTATGTCCGGATTAGCACTATAGTGTAAGCTTAGTGTAGGTGGTGGGCACGACCTTATGTGTATTGTCCGGATTAGCACTATGACATAAGCTTAGTGCAGGTTTAGCACTACGGTGCATGTATTTTACTCGAATACCCAGGGTCCTCAAGGTTTAATATTGGGTTATGGGCTATGGATTATGGTTTATTGGTTAATAAATGGTAACCATGCAAATAAGCTTATGAGCTTACGGAATAATGACAAGTATATTGGTAAAATAAGCTTACGAGCTTATGGTATTAAATGGTAAGTATATTGGTAAAATATGCTTACAAGCTTATGGGATAAATGGTAAGTAAATTGATAAGAAATGTTATATTATGATGATCATGGTAAAATATTGGATATGAATAGAAATATGATAGTATAAGTGCATATATGTAATTTAATATATGAAATGTTTTATGATTTTTATTATATGTTTTATATGCCTCACTAAGTCAACGACTTAGCGTGTGATTGTTTCACGTGTAGGTTTCGAGAAGAGAAAGATTGATAAAAGTTATGCAAGACAGGTCAGTTCCTCCTTTCCAAAGATCATATCAGAAAAGAAATGTATAGTACGTATGTTGTAATAAGGAAAGTAGTTGGCATGTAAATAAATGATTAAATCCGATATATTCTAATGGGTTTTGAAAAGTCATAAGATTGAGTTTTGTAATGTTTTAAATGTGTATATGTTTTGAAAGGTAATGTAGCAGTACTGTAGCAGTGCATCGATACACAATTGATATTCGAAATTTTTCACTGTTCACGGTATTGTGCATTACTGTTCACGGTATTGTTCATACAGTATTTTACTGTTCATAAAAACATATTTTTTTCAAATTGGTTTTAACGAACATAATTCAACAATATATTATAGTATTTTCTTAATATGAATTCAAATGTTTTGATATTTTATAAGAATATTGTTTTAAAAAGTCAATGTGACATCTTGGATTCGTATCCGGGTCAGGTACGAGTTGGGGTGTTACAGTTACTAGGACCACATGATTGGGAGAATTTTTTGTTTATGCATTTGGTGGTTGTCTATCTAGTTTACTTGATAGATAGATATACTCTAGTTAGGGTTGAGCAACGAAATCGAGAAAACCGAAAAACCGACACGAACCGAGTAAAACGGTTCGGTTCGGTTCGGTTCGGTTTGGCTTTAAACGGTTCGGTTTTCGGTTCGGTTTAAAGGCTTCATTTTTTTGATTCGGTTCGGTTCGAGTTTTCCATATGGAACCCATTTGTTCCATATTGAACCGAATAGGCAATTTTTGTAAAAAAAATTATAGTTTCAAGTGATTTTTTTATTGAAAAACCGAAAAACCGAACCGAAAAACCCGAACCGTTAAAAAAACCGAACCGAACCGATAAAACCGGTTTCGGTTTTTTCGGTTTTTTAACTATTCGGTTTCGGTTTCGGTTTAAATATTGAAAAACCGTTTATTTCGGTTCGGTTCAATTTTTAGTAAAAAACTGAACCGAACCGAACCGAATACACCCCTAACTCTAGTGACTATCAGAAGAGGAAGATGTTCACAATATATCGTGTAGTTTGGATTTCACTTGCTGGCCTACTAACATCTCCTCTTGCTTGTGGAAGAAGAATGACATCCCTAAATAAAAGTGCAATCTTTAGGAAAGCATTAATGAAACTATGCAATATGCTTAGTGAGTGGTATATGAAACATCTTGGGAAAAAACAAAATAAGGCATTCGACAATAGTCAATTTTCCAATAGAATTGAACATAGAGAAAATATAATCATCGAGGAAGAAAAATGGGATGATTTTGATGACAGATAATAAGTGCTTTGGAGGATGTTCTTCATTTCAAACAGAGGTTTATGTAATTTCTTATCCTTAAGTCCCACATATATCTCTTATTCCCTTAGTGCTCCTAAAGATTCATAAATTCATCAAATTGCATTTGGAAGATTTTATTATTTTTATCAATGGGCTTTCTTTCCAAAAATATTTGGTATATTATTTATCTTGCTTATAAGTACTTTGAAATTTTTCTGTTCTTTATTGTTATCTAGCAGGACTGATGAGGACTTTAAATGCTTTTGGCATCTACTCAAGTGCTGGTAGTCGTAAAGGTTCAGTTCAAAGTTCAGAACACTATCGTTTCTATCAAAAGTTAGTTAAGCTTTCAAGTGTAGGAAATGGTGTTGGCAGACAAGTACACGAATCATTGGTTGTTTCTAATGTTGTTGAACTATTTAAGCTTGTATTTTTTAGCATATCTACATCACCACAATTTCTAAATTTGCTCTCAGAAACTCTGCATCGTTATTTAGAGCACGATTTGTTTGCAGCTTTTAGCTATCTTAGAGATCGAAAAATTATGGTAAATATCAATGTGTACTTTCTATATTTTTTGGTTATTGCAATTTACATAGAGGTGATTTTTTGTACTTAAGTAAAGAGTAGTATCTACTAATCTTACGAAAAAAGATGCATTAGGATTCTATCAAGATCTCCAATCACCAATTTTTCTAAAGTTCCTTTTTATTTATGTCAGAAAGCAACTTCCTAATTTAGGAAGATTGTGTGAAATTAATTAAGAGATTTTATAAATATTCTAGTATATGTAATCCCTAACTTTAAGGAATTAATATTTTCCTATAATTAGTTAGTTACCTAGTTTAAAAGTTTCCTAAGTTAAGCTCTCTGCTTGTATATATATTAGTGTAACGTTCCAATGAAAAATGTATCAGAATTTTAGTCCATTTCAATATGGTATTAGAGCTTTTTTAGCTTATTTTGGGGTCTTTTTTTATTCTTTTTTATAGCCTTTTAGTATTCTAAATTTCATTCCTTGAGTATGTAGTGTTAACTCGAGAGGAATATGGTGGAAGTCAGTGAAACCAACATCCCTGAGGATACTCTAGAAGCTTCATTGAATGAAGGGAATTACTCAAACTCAAAAAGTGACTTGTAGAATATACAAGCAACATACATATTAAATGGAAAAAATTACCTAAAGTGGTCTCAACTGATTCGTGCCTTCTTTAAGGGGAGAGGAAAGTTGAGTCACCTACTCGGGACTAGACCAACAGAGAGGGATCCTAGGTTTGATACTTGGGGTGAACAATATTCAATGGTAATGTCTTGGTTATGGAACTCCATGGTACCATAAATCAATGATACATGTATGTTTGATGAGAGTTTAATATTACATATTTTTATTATTATTTACATTTCATTTATCGCTTGGATATTACTGATTTATCTTTATTTTGAGTTTATTTTAGACAGAAGCTTCATTGGATTAATTAGCCTAAAAACTAGTAGATTTCAACGGTCCATTCAACATCTTATAGAAGACAAGCAGAACTTCCTTGAATATTTAATTTGGAATTTACCTAGGACAATGTTATCCAAAAGATGATGAATAATTCAACCAGAAGACTTAAATATTTATCTTTTGTGATAAACCTTTTTAATTTAGGATTTTTAGTTTGATTATTCTATTATTATTTTATTTCAAAATTATTTATTTTATTGGAACTCTTATTTGGATTTTAGTTTGATTATTTTAGAAATTAGTTATTTTATTTTCTTAGAACTCTCGGGTTATAAATATCCCTTTGGTTCAATAGTTGAAACTCATATTAGAATTTATTTTCCTTAGTTATTTATTGTAGTTCTACTTTTCTTTCATCTCCATATTTCTTTCTTTATTTTCTTTCATTGTTTTCTTTTCACAATGTTAAGCATGATTAAATCCATGCTTGGCTAAACTTCTACTTAGCCAAAGGTTTTTGTGAAACTCAATTTCATTCATGAGAATTGAATCTTGATCTTCATACCTTAAAATCATATTCTTGATTCTCTGGAAACTCGGAGTGATAGTCGGTAATTCTCATAAAAGTTATTATATCTTCAACTCAAAAGGTGGACGTTGATTTGAACACTGTTTTGTTTGAAGTTTGGACGTCAGATCGGATGGTCGTAATTCAGCTTCTTGTGAACAAACTTAGCAGCAATCTGTTAAGGGAAATCAAGATCAAGTTTGATTCTCGGTGAGACGTTATAACTCGAGTCAGGCATTTCCAAAATTTAAAGTTATTTTGGATCTAACGACGATAGATGTGGCTAACCAACAAAGATCGGATTTCGGAGATAAACTTAAAAATTTCGATTAACCAGAGAGAAGAATTAGCTGCAGGGGTTGAACTCTGTTGACTGTAATCGACATATATCACGAATGGAAAATTTTAGTTCGATGATCAGTCGAAATTAAGGTTAAGAAAAACATGAGACTATATCATCTTTACTGAATTCTTTAATTTTATCTACTTTATTTATTTTTCGTTATTATTATTATTATTATTTTATTCATTGTTTATTTATTTATCTATTTTATTCATTTATTTTCATTAATTTTGAAATCCTTCTTTTTATTTTCTTGCAGTTGATGCAATCCGAGAAACAACATTATCAAACTTCCTTAGTGCCTGTGGATTAACCATACTTCTCTATACTACTTTATTTATTTATTTATTTAAGAATTACGAATTATTTTTATTTGGCAAATTCAACGATTGTCAAATTGGCGCTATTACCGGGGACTTCGACAAATTTACTAATATTGTTTCTTGTTTTGATTTATGACCATGAAAAATATAGGCAAAATAACATATTTGATACCTGAGATCAAAGCATTAGCCCGAAGAATACACACGTACACTACGAGAAAGGCGACAACAACAACAATCATAACAATCTAAACTTAATCTGGAGATACCATTTGATGCATAAACTTTCTTTAACGTCAAAGAACCAATTCTAATGGATCAATAGATAATTTGAGAATCAATTGTGACACCTGCCGAACCAACACCGTTATGTATTGCATTCCCTAATGGAGAAACACCGTTTGAGCTCAAGACAAGGTTAATTTATCTTCTTCCTACTTTCTACGGATTACCAAGTGAAAATCAGCATAAGCATTGCACAGAATTTCACATGGTTTGCTCCAACATCAAACCACAAGGAGTATCTGTGGATCAGATTAAACTTCGCGTTTTCCCTTTTTTAGTCGATTTGACTAAGGATTATCTATTTTGTTACTACGTGGATTGATATAACTCAATTTTTTCTTGACAAGTTCTTTCCTACGAAAAAAGTAAGTGAATTAAGCAGAATCATCTTAGGAGTTCGCTAGAAAGATAATGAGTCACTCTATGACAATTGGGAACGATTCAAAAAGTTTTGCGCTAGCTGGCCATAACACGAATTAACTGAACAAACTCTTCTCCAGTACTTCTATGAAGGCTTACTTCCTATGAAGATGAAGATGATTAATGCAGCAAGTGGAGGAGATCTCGTCAAGATGACTCCCGCCGCGACCAGAAATCTAATTTCTACTATGGATGCCAACTGTACAAGTGTGACAATTCAATTCAGCGATAGATCAGTGGTTTATCTCGAAGGAGTCTTGAGAACGTATTGGTTAAGTAAATTACTTGGTATTTCCTACAGATTTTTATGTCATTGACATGGAAGATGATTGTTCAAATACTTTATCCAAAATCTTACTCGGTAAACCAATCTTAAGCACATATCATACTAAAATCGACGTTAGAAGCGGAATTCTGACAATGGAATTTGATGTTGATGTTGTCAAATTTGATGTTTATAGGGAGATGAAATATCCCAATTCAATGGATAATATTAGTTTTTTTGATGTTTTAGAACCTATCATCGATGAATTTATGAAGACTGGTTTTTTAGATGAATTGTGCAAGGAAATAGAGGAAGTCGATGATGAAATAAGGGAGTTAGAAAATATTTCTTTTGTTTATTCTTATTTGTGTCTTACTCCCTCAAAAATTAAGATGTTACCTTCTATTTTGAATACACCATAAATTGAGCTAAAACAATTATCGGATCACTTAAAGTATGTTTTTTGGGGAGAAAGATTAACTTTGTTGGTTATCATCTCAAGCAAACTTTCCATAAAGGAAAAGGAGGATTTGCTTCGAGTCCTAAAAGAGATAAAAAAAAAGCAATCGGATGGACAATCGCTAACATCAAAGGACTTAGTCCTTCGACTTGCATGCATAAAATCAAAGTCGAAGAAAATGCTAAACCTTCTCGTGAAGGTCAAAAGCGCCTAAATCGTCCAATGACAGAAGTGGTTAAAAAGGAGATCTATAAACTTCTTGACGCTGATATGATTTATTTGATTTCTGATAGTAATTGGGTAAGTCCAATCCATTTTCCTAAGAAAACCGGAGTTACAGTAGTTGAGAATTCAGAAGGCAAGTTAGTCCCCACACGTGTTAAGAATAGGTGAAGAATTTGTATCGATTATAGGAAGTTGAACTCTTTAACTAGAAAATATCATTTTCTGCTTCTATTTATTGATCAAATAATTGAATGTTTAGCCGGAAAGTCTCAATATTTTTGTCTTGATGGTTTTTCAGGTTTCTTTCAATTCCTTGTGGCACCAGAAGATCAAGAAAATACCACCTTTACTAGTTCATTCGACATTTTTGCTTATCGCTGATTGTCATTCGGTCTTTGTAATGCACCAGCCACTTTCCAAAAGTGCATGGTAAGTATATTTTCTGATTACATCAAAAAAGGGATCGGAGTGTTTATGGACGATTTCACAGTTTACTATAATTCTTTAGGCGAATGTTTGTCAAATTTGACAAAAATCCTAAAGTGATGCCATGAATTCAATCTTGTTTTAAATTATGGAAAATTCCATTTTATGGTTGATAAAGGATTAATTTTAGGACATGTCGTTTCTTCTAATAGGATTGCAGTTGATAAAACTAAAATTGATATTGTTCGCTCACTTTCATAACCCATGACTGTGAGGGAGATTCTGTAACATACCAAATTATGGGTTAGTGACCAAATTGTAAAGTTTCAGAATTTGATGACTAAAGTAGAAGAATGAAGTAGTTCAATGATTATTGGATATATATGATGAAGGTTATTTAGTAATTATTAAAGGAAATAAAGGGTAAAATGGTCATTTGATCATTTAAGGAAAAAAAATGGAATTATATACACGTGGAAAGGAAGAGAATTCTCCAGAATTATCTTCTCCTTTCTTCTTCTTCTTCACGTGGAAGCCAAGAGCAAAGTTAAGTTTGATTTAGCTTTTGATTTCTTGAAAGTTTTAAGTTGGATTTGAGTCTTTGAGGGTTATATAAGCTTAAGGAAAGCTTATATAAGTTTAAAACACCAAAGAGATAGAATTAGAAAGGAATTTCTATTAAGGGTTTATAAATGAACTTTTGTTATAGAAAGGTTTTTGAAGTTCTAAAGTTGGATTTGACTTGCCATCAGCTTAATTAAGAAGTATTAAGTGTTAGAATTGGA